GAGGGACCTACCATCATTTGTGGGCCTGTCTCTGGAGGGGGCCCTACCCTCACCTGTGGGCCTGTCTCTGGGGGGGCCCTACCCTTACCTGTGGGCCTCTATGCAGAGCGATCGTCTGATCACTCCGGTGTTTGTAAATAACTGGGGACACCTAGTACTATGTGTCCCCAGTTATGAATGAACAGGATGTGATGTACATCACTTCCTGTTCATTCATGAATTTCTCAATGGGGAGAAGCACTCAGTACAGAGGATCCTCCCCATTCAGAGACTGCTGATAGTAAATATTTTACTATCAGCAGTTTGTGAATGAATGGGGAGGAGCCTCTGTACTGAGTGCTTCCCATTCACTGAGTGCTGAGGCTGCAGAAAAAGAAATTGAGGACTTTTTGCTCTCAATTTCTTTTCTATTTTAAAAGGGAAATATCAGGGGTCTGTTTAGACCCCAAAACTCACCTGTGGGCCTGTCTCTGGGAGAGGCCCCTACCCTCATCTGTCTCTGGGGGCGGCCTTTACCCTTACCTGTGGGCCTGTCCCTGGGGGGGGTTACCCTCACCTATGAGCCTGTATCTGGAGGGGGCCCTACCCTCACCTGTGGGCCTGTCCCTGGGGGGGGGTTACCCTCACCTATGAGCCTGTATCTGGAGGGGGCCCTACCCTCACCTGTGGGCCTGTCCCTGGGGGGGGGTTACCCTCACCTATGAGCCTGTATCTGTTGGGGCCCCTACCCTCACCTGTGGGCCTGTCTCTGGAGGGTGGTCCCCTATCCTCACCTATGAGCCTGTACCTGGAGGGGGCCCTACCCTCAGCTATGAGCCTGTATCTGGAGGGGGCCCTACCCTCACCTGTGGGCCTGTCTCTGGAGGAGGCCCTACCCTTACCTGTGGGCCTGTCTTTGGGGGGGGCTACCCTCACCTGTGGGCCTGTCTCTGGAGGGTGGTCCCCTACCCTCATCTGTCTCAACGGGCGGCCTTTCTGGAGAGTGGTCCCCTACCCTCACCTGTGGGCCTGTCTCTGGAGGGTGGTCCCCTATCCTCACCTATGAGCCTGTCTCTGGAGGGTGGTCCCCTATCCTTACCTGTGGGCCTGTCTCTGGAGGGTGGTCCCCTATCCTCACCTGTGGGCCTGTCTCTGGAGAGTGGTCCCCTACCCTCACCTGTGGGCCTGTCTCTGGAGAAGGCCCTACCCTTACCTGTGGGCCTGTCTTTGGGGGGGTTCCCCTCACCTATGAGCCTGTATCTGGAGGGGGCCCTACCCTCACCTGTGGACCTGTATCTGGAGGGGGCCCCCTACCCTATTCGAGGACTCGAGCGTTTGGTTGAGAGCTGAAAGAAGTGCACTGACAACCTTGATAGGTGACAAGCCTTATAAGGACATGCTTTGGGAGACATTAAATTGGTAAATCAGAAAAGTTATTTGTAAAGTGATATGTGACTTTTACAACTGAGGGGTGAACATGAAATATAAGTAATAAATATAAGTAATGTTGTACAAGAGGGTGAAGTCCGTTTTAATGGCGCCACCATACACCGTGCTGTCAATGGGACCTGATAAGGTGAGACCAACCTACAAGGCCGCGCACACAGCAGCTGAGAGAACGAGTCTGTCTCCATGGCAACCGGCCGCCGACGTCAACAAAGGAGGCGTGCTCACCCAGGCAGACACTCGCAGCGCGCGTGCGCGCCTTTCCCCCCACACTGACCTTTAAACCTGACGTCACGGCCGCGGAAGCGAAGCCGCCGTCAGCCACAGTGGACCGGGAGAAGTGGGCGGAGCCATGAATATTCTCCCCCTGAGAACACGCCCTGCAGCCATGTAAATCTTCCCGGAGGGAGGGCGGACCGGACTCCGCCCACTACTCCTCGTCAGCCTGTCATTCACATTTCTCCCCCTCTTCCTTCGCGCGTAAACACAAAGCGCGGGAGATTGCAGAGGGGCGGAGTCACGTGATCCCGGGGCCATTTGAAAAGCCGTGGCGGCCGCGTGTTGCCGGTGTATCTGTGTCCGGTGATCTTTTGGTGTGTCTGCCGGTGTCCTGTGGTCCGGCTCTGCGCTCCCTCGTCCTTCTCCCGGCCTGCGTGTTGGCGGGAAGCGTATTGTATTTCCCGCGGTTTTTATACGGTAGCGCTTTTATCCACAGGCCTTCCCCCCACTCCCGGTGATTTTTATCCGCAGTCCCTTTTATCCGTGGAGCCATGCCGGCCCAGGCCGCCTCTCCCGCCCTGCCTGCTGATGTCAGGAAGCGGTAAGTGACGTCACACATGGGTGATGAGGTCATCAGAGGGGTAATGTCGTCAGCTGTCAGTGAAGGAGGGGGTGGTCGGATATGGCAGAGGGGAGCCCAATGCCCTTACCTGTGGTGTGCTGGGTAAAGCCCCATATCCTGACCTGTGGGGGGGGAAGCCCCATATCCTGACCACCTGTGGGGCATGCCCATGTGGGGGGGGGAAAACCCCATATCCTGACCACCTGTGGGGCCATGCCCATGTGGGGGGGGGAAGCCCCATATCCTGACCACCTGTGGGGCCTGTTCATGGGGGTGTGTTCTGGGGGAAGCCCCATACACTGACCACCAGCCAAGCCCACAGGTGAGGGCAAGTGGAATCAGGCAATTGCTTCTCATGGAATCCCATGTGTAGGCCGGGTTCTGGTGTGATGACCAAGGTCTCTGAATTATCGGTGTGCACCATAACATGGGTGGGGGTGGACATCTGGGGGCTGAATGTATCTTGTCCTAAGGTGATGTTCCTCCACTAAACTTTTACTTGGGGCAGCCTGCCCCCCCCAAAAAAAAAATTCACTGTGCAATGTCAGAATGTAAGTGGTCGGCATTGGCTGGTTGGGGAGTAGTCTGCTCTTGGGTGTAAGTTGGTCAGTGATGACTTTGTCAGTACCGGAGCTATGAAAGTCTTCACACAGGTACTCGCAGGTAGCACTGCGCCTTGTAGGTTGGACCTTCCCATGGTGTCTCTAGAACGGTGATGGGGAACCTTTCTGAGCCCGAGTTCCCAAACTGGATCACTAAACCAACTTCTGCATCTCAAAGTGCCAACCGAGGCCCTGAGACCCGAATACTGAGGATTTCAGGGAGTACTTCACACGACGGTCTGTGCTAATGAGTGGCGTGCACCCGTGTACTGTGCTAATGAGTGGCGTGCACCCGTGTACTGTGCTAATGAGTGATGTGCACTCTGCTAATGAGTGACGTGTACCATTGCCGTGTGCTACAAAAGGTTCATGTCACGCAGCACACTTCAAGCGAACAGACTCTACAGGTTGGAGTCAGTGTTGGAGCACCCGGGCCCAGTACAACTGTGACCCGGGTAGTTCTGCCACTGACTCCAACCTGTAAAGGAACTAATCTCAGCAATACACTATACAGCAATGCAGACCTCTATAGAGGACTACAAATCCCAGCAATACATTATACAGCAATGCAGAATAACAGCTATAGAGGACTACAAATCCCAGCAATACATTACACAGCAATGCAGAATAATAGGCTGCATGCTCTGTTGCTTCAGGGTGGTGGCCTGATTCCTTCAGGGTCTCCGGAGGGCTGTGTTGGCTCTCGGGGGATGCTGTGCAGTTCTCAGATGGGCTCTTGTGGTGCGCAATGCGGGCGGGTAAGACAAGCGGCGAGCTCTAAACAAGCATATTAGATGGCCGCTCGCTGGGGTCCCAGGGAGGAGGAAGCGGCCGTCTAATATGCCTAGTTAGAGCCCGCTGCTGCCTGATTGTGACCCGCCCGGATCGCATACCGGGACGGTCAGATCTATTTTCAGAGGTGCTCCCGGAACCTCTAGGGTAAAGTGCGAGCGCCCCGTGTCAATGTAAGGCCTTTGCTATGGTCTTTTTAGGTCAGTGTCCATGGAGACGTGTCGGTTTCTGTATCGGTTGTTTGGTCTCCATGGCGACAGTCTAGCGTCCATGGCGACGGGTTGGTTTTTTCCATACCCTTTGCATGCTTTCTGTGACAATGGGTCGGCTTCCGTATCCGTTGTTGTTCTGCATGGCAACGGTCTTGTCACTAAGTCTCCACGGCGAGGGGTCTGGTCAGTTTCCATATCCGTTGTATAGATTCCATGGTGATGGGTCATTCTCCATGGCGATGGCTCAATCTGCATATCCGTTGTAAAGATTAGAGATGGATCAGTCTTGAATGTCTTCGATTACCCTCCAATATGTACCTTGTAGGTATTGAATACCACGTTTTAAATTGCCTGATGAGTTTTGATGGCACAATGAGCGTTTCTGGTGATTATAACCAGCAGATCCCCCTCCCCCACCCGATATAAAGGGAGTCTTCAGGGCACGTCTGTTGGAGCCGGAGATGTGAGACTTGTACATGTGATATAAAGTTCATATAATGAGCACGTGTAGTAAAAACTCGCCTGTGGGTGCTGCTGACCTACCACAGGCCCTAGGTACCAGGCTTCCAGTCTTCAGTAGAATACCTCACCACAGACATGTAGAAGGGGACATCAGAACTCTTGATATGACCTTTTCATGGTCTGTGCCTCAAAGTATTGATGCCAAATCACCATGACCACCAACCCTCAACAATGGCTTCCTCGGCTCCATACAGTTAAGCTCCAACTTTCCGCAGTGTTCACCCTTTAAAGCAAACCAGTGAGGAGATGTGATAATATAACACGTGACAGAATATCCTCCTCCTCAGTGCCGGGTGTCTCCTCCATAAGAACCGTTGTCTCTACAATCATCGGACTGGACACATCCCTGTGGCATTCAGGAGCCGATCTGTCCTGTCCAGGAGCCCTCAGGATTTATTTTAGGAGCTCCGTGGACCATTAGGAGACCTCTAAAGTTGTGTCCGCTGTAATGTTACTGGCTCCCTGTCTCCCGGGATTTGTCCAGCCCTGATACCATTAGTCCATATGACCAATCGGTAGACCCAGACATCACCGTAGTTGGTAGTGCCAAAGGCAAGCCTCTGACTGGAGACGGACAAACACATCTAGGCGCTGGCTGAACTCTTCCGCTGGAGAATTTGTCCGTCCACATTGTTTAGCACGGATGGAGGAATCAAGCGCTTTTCTCATTCAGCATGTGGGGCAGAACCAGAACCTACCAGTGTATGGACAGATTTAGTAGTATAGAGCTGTCCATACACTGGTAGGTCTAAGCTGTAGGACAACAAGAGGTCCTAAACCCAGAAACCCTCAGTGTGAGCAGTAGCCAAGGGTTTGTTGCATCAGAATAAATGTCTGTTAGGTTTCAGAGGGTTGATCACACCTGTTGGGCCATGTTGTGTCGTATCTAGTGCTGAGTGAGAGGGGCTAGAGCGGCGCTGAGGGGCAGGCCAGAGGTGCTAGAGCGGCGCTGAGGGGCAGGCCAGAGGGGCTAGAGCGGCGCTGAGGGGCAGGCCAGAGGGGCTAGAGCGGCGCTGAGGGGCAGGCCAGAGGGGCTAGAGCGGCGCTGAGGGGCAGGCCAGAGGGGCTAGAGCGGCGCTGAGGGGCAGGCCAGAGGGGCTAGAGCGGCGCTGAGGGGCAGGCCAGAGGGGCTAGAGCGGCGCTGAGGGGCAGGCCAGAGGGGCTAGAGCGGCGCTGAGGGGCAGGCCAGAGGGGCTAGAGCGGCGCTGAGGGGCAGGCCAGAGGGGCTAGAGCGGCGCTGAGGGGCAGGCCAGAGGGGCTAGAGCGGCGCTGAGGGGCAGGCCAGAGGGGCTAGAGCGGCGCTGAGGGGCAGGCCAGAGGGGCTAGAGCGGCGCTGAGGGGCAGGCCAGAGGGGCTAGAGCGGCGCTGAGGGGCAGGCCAGAGGGGCTAGAGCGGCGCTGAGGGGCAGGCCAGAGGGGCTAGAGCGGCGCTGAGGGGCAGGCCAGAGGGGCTAGAGCGGCGCTGAGGGGCAGGCCAGAGGGGCTAGAGCGGCGCTGAGGGGTCTGAGGGGCTAGAGCGGTGCTGAGGGTCAGGTGAGAGGGGCTAGAGCGGCGCTGAGGGGCCACAAGACTAGAAGTATCAGTTGGAAAGTTCTCCGACTTGCTTGTTCAGTTTGAGCGGCTCATAAGTGTTGTGACTTGTTGCTTCCTCTGCACTTTACGCTGCACCTGGTGGCTGAGCAAAAAAGAAGACTGAAAATGTTGCTGCGGTGTGGTCTGCATGAATGTGAACCCATGCGGTCTGTCCATGCCGGGCAATGCAATATGTGACGGACACTTTGCTCTAATGGTGGCCCTAGAGATGGGAAGGACCCCAGGCACGCTGGATGCAATGGTACATGGGCTGAGGCTCTGATAAAAATGCCGCCGTCGAGGTTGCATTTGGTTTAGGGGGAAAGTCTCTCCTTACAATTCCTCGCGTGCACTGATCCGTATTTTGGGTGGTGCGATCACTCAGTCTTGGCTTTCAATCACTCCAAGGATTATAAGCTTGCCTAGGATGAAAATGGGAAACATTGGACGTTGGACCTCCAACGTTCTCCGGTCTAAATAGCGAATATAATGTGTACGATGGGCTTGTGCCAACACTGTAACCTCCGGGCCGGTCTTCTCGCCACCATACTTGCACGCTTCTAGTACGCTCCACCTTTTGGAATTGCAAACTATGTGCACTTGAGATGATGTCCGGTGCGGATTGGTGGGGCTTTATTGTCGGGGTGCTGCAGGTCTCCCCTCAGTTCTGCCGGTCATCTCCAGACGTGGATCACGCTGCTGTTTGAAGCTCGGGTCTCTAATGCTGCTTTTATTTACTTTTCAGGCTGAAGGCGTTGGATAAAGAACAAGACGGGCTCACTGAGAAGGTACGACGGTGCTCTTCAGCTTGGGGTTCTATCTGTAGCCAACAATAGTCACTGCTCAGAGTAATGGGCGTAGAATACTTCCATCAGCTCATGGATCAGACGCTTAGGAAGAGCAATCTAGGGGAATATAATTAGTCTGCTGCGTGAGCGAAAACATACCGTTGCTCGCTCACTTCTCGATCATCTTCCTGCAAAGAGTGGTGACTGTCACTCACGGCTCCCTGCAGGGATTCCCTGCTCCGATCCTCCAGCGCTGACTGGCAGGACGGGGGAGGGGGCGGGTACAGCTGGCTCTGCCTCTAGATAGGCAGAGCCAGCTGTCACTCATGCAGCTGGGTGGATCTTGACTAATGTCGGGGATCTGTCCCGGCTGCAGCGGTCTCAGTATATAGGGAGCTGTAGCTCGCGGTATACTGAGCTTTGGGTGACAGGAGGACGCTAGTTTGTGTCCTCCCGTCACCCTTAGGAGAACGATTGGGAAAGCACCGGCCTCATAGTTCTCTAAGGCAAGTCATTCCTTTTGAATGGACTGGCAGTGCACCTTCCTCCATTGGGGGAGGGGGGGAGATCTTGCACAACATCACAAATGGCACATGTGCTGCAGTGTGGCGTTTCCTGCTAATGTAAGGGTACTTTGCGGTGCAACTCGAAATTAATTGCAGGGTATCCCCTTTGTGTTTACTATGTGTTGCAGTAACATGGAGGTGCTCCATAGCATAGATGAGACCAAGCCCTTGCTCAGAAGCAGTATCTGGAAGTAACTGAGAAGCATGGATGACGCATGATACTAGGGGACACTGACCTGTGTAGGTTGGGGTGTTGGTCCAGGAAGGAGGTGATTTTGTCTTGATGTCTTCACTGAGCTTCTACCCTAGACAGCAGGTTGAGCTGTTCTAGATTACAATGGGTGGCCCGCTCTATGCCCTGTAATATGACATGATGCTGGTATCTGCCTTTAGACTTCATGAGATCCCTCAGTTGGTGTGATTTTTGTACCGGTTCTGATCTTCAGCCGCCAGTCCGTGAATGCTCGGTACAGTTTTCATGATTTGCTGTTTGTACTCCTAACTTCTCTCGTCGTTTGTCCTAGGAATGCATCGAACAGAAGCTGAATTTGGTGGCAGACTACCTGGAAGCGGATGCTAAAGATAAATTGACCAATTTGGAGACCAAGCTGAACAAAGATGAGCTGTCTGAAGTATGTACCCTCTCCGGAAAGACCAGTCTTGTCAAGAAACCTGGACATCTGACCCTTTTATTTGAGCTCCAATGGGTTCTGGGACAGACTCAGAATTCCTTCTACCAAGTCAATGAACCTAGAAGCGCATTGTGTTCAGTCCTTAGGTCTTAAGGAAATCTGAGCTTATGCTCGGTCTCTGCTTACCATCCTCAAACTGACAGCAGAGGAGTGAAGTGAGAGCAGATGGTATGGGATCCCCAGTGTGGGTGGGGTCGAGCTACAGGTGGTGAACGGGGATGGGCCCTCAATATGAGTTTGGGTGAAAAGTGGGAATGGGGCCTTGGTATCTGGTTTGAGGTACAGGTGGGGTTGCTGGGGTGAACCTACTGAGGTGGGGAGCAGGGGTGTGACGTTGGGGTACTGGCTTGAGAGCTGGGATGGGCTTTAGGTGTCTGGTATGGGAAGCTGAGATGGGCCTACTGTGTTGTGGTAGAGGTGAGGAGCAAGGATGGGCCCTTGTGGTCTTGGTTGAGGTACAGGTGAGAAGCAGGGATGGCCTCTTGGTATCTGGGTTGGGGGTACAGGTGATCAGGGATGGGACCTTGTGGTCTTGGTTGAGGTACAGGTGAGGAGCAGGGATGGCCTCTGGGTTGGGGGTACAGGTGACCAGGGATGGGCCCTTGTCTGGGTTGAGGTACAGGTGGGGAGCAGCAGTTGCCCTATTTGTGGCTTTTATCTGTCCAAGTCACATGTACAGTTTATGTGGGAGCTGTGATGGGCCTTGGGTGTCTGAGGCGCAGCGATGGGCCCTTGTTAGGGTTACAGGTGGGGAGCAGGGATGGGCCCTTGTCTGGGTTGGGGGTACAGGTGGGAAGTCAGGGGTACTTCTGGTAGCATGGAGCGGCTTCCCGGGCAGTCGGGAAGCCAGGCAGTGTAATCATCTGCCCGGCTGCTTCATTGCCCGGGAAGCCAACTCCATGCTGATTTTCTGGGAAGCCAGCTTCCCGGCCAATTAGCAA